AGTACTCCTTTATTAAGGGATATCCCTGAATTAAGGGATATCCCTTAATAAAGGAATAGACCTTAATTTTTAGTAGGATCTCTATTATGATTCAGGGAATATTCCTTAATTAATTGATATTGGAGCCTCTGGGAACGATCTCCCAAACGGGGAAGCTGAAAGCCTGAAGCCTTAAACCCTTCTAAGCCTGATAGATAAGCATGGGAGCCTGAAAGTGAAACAAATCATCAAAACCTGTGAACCTACTGCCATCCAAGGTGCACTACGGAGGTCCCCTGGAAAGGAGGATCCCTCCACACGCGCACGCCCCGCGCCCGCTAGCCAGAAGCAGTCGGCAGCAGGAGTCAGACACGAAGAGAACGGTTTACCTACCTTTGGTCAGTAGGGAATGGGGTACAATTATAACTACTATTACTACCATATTACTACCATGTTCCTATCATACTACTACCATATAACTACCATATAACTACTATTACTACCATTCTTCCATTCCCTACTAACCACCAAAGGTAAGTTTAGGGTTCGGGGAGCGCTACAGCGGTTCATGCCTGCAATGCGGCCTGCTGAGGTGTTGGACGGGAGGTTTCGAGGGAGCCACAGAGCAAAAGGTTTATGAACGACGATGACTGGCAGCCGGCACACAAAACCCTAAGGGATTTTAGGGTTTTAGAGTTTAGGGTCTAGGGTTTGGGGACTTTAGGGTTTAGGGCTTAGGGTTTAGGATTTGAGGGTTTAGGTTTTAGGGCTCAGGGTTTAAACCTAAACACACCTCAGCATGTTGGACTCAAAACTGCACCATCCATCTTCCTGAACGGCTGCTTACTTCCAAACCTAAACAAGGCTCTGGCCGGGCACACGTTTTTCTTGGCATGATGCTTGCAGCCCAAAAACAGCTCGAAGAAGTGGGGAGGTAGTAGATTGCCTTCCCTGTCATCTCACGAGGTCACCGGCTACTGGATCCTTGAATCCAAAGCCCTGCACCCAGATAGAAACAGAGAGACGATACAGAAGAGCCAGACATGAAAGCCTGTTGTATCAACATTGGGTGGTTGTCAAAAATGTGGTCCCGCGTTGGGTACCCTAAATATTAGGTGCCGTATTATAATAAGGACCCACAAAGGGACCCTAATTTTGACAACTACCCACATGCATCGGCGTCATCGCCGCTCCCATTCAAACGTCTGGAAAAGTTGGGCAACAATGCCGACAGGCCTACTCATCCTAGCATGCAGCGTATTCGATATGATGTGATGGTGAGTTGAAGGAGTCCGGGCATGTTGCTCCAGGAGCGCGTCGCACCTATATACTGTGTCCCAATCATCTCTCGGAGATGCTTCAGCCAACAAGTTCCTACTATATTTATTATTACGATTATTATCATTACTATTCTTTTTATGACTACTATTACTATTAACATTATTATTATTACTGTTATTATTACTATTATTATTAGTAGTATTACTATCATTGAAGAAGAAAAGGAGGCAGCCCTTGACCGAAACCGCAACGACTGAGACGGCCTGCCAAGAAGATACACTCAGGGTGCAACACTAAGCAACTGATCTTTCAAGAGAGATCTAGAAAAGCACTAAGAAACAACTGATCATCCGTTTGCACACTCATGAACGACTGCGGTCACCACAAGAGCTCAAGCGCTGGGGGTGAAACACTGGACCTGCAACTTGCAGGCCGATATCTCTGACTGCGCCGATGTTCGAAAGATGCATCCATATCGCGAACCCCGCACTGATCTCTGAAAGTAACTCTAGATCACGGAGTCAGACTTGCGCAAGCAAGCGGATAGGCTTACATTGTTTCATGGGACAATGCTGTGCGTGGCTCGGGTTCTGTAGCACACATTTGAAGATCCTTGTATGTACAGTGCATCGGTTATGACTTGGCAAATCATGCCGGATACATCGCTTCTACAGAACCTGAAGCCACCTGTGTGCAAGGAGCACAAAGAAGTGAACCAGAACCGGCTGATGTTGCCGGCCCGGGATGCAGGTCTGAGGCAGAACAACAGCTTCTGGTTTTGCATCCGATGAAGGTCCCGACGAAGGCTCCGAACCATATACAGAATTCTGCGAGTCTCACATACCCCCGAGGAGAATGGCCACGAGGAAGGAGTTTTCTTGGCCCACCCCAGAAACTTCGTATGTGGGCATATATATAACAAGACATCGGTCATTACTGCTTCTAACCCATAACGACTGCTTCCATCGAAAGAACTTGAAGTAACAACAAAATGAAAACAAAGTAGGAGTGTCGAGAATATAGGGCCAGTAATGTGTGACTGTTTGTATGTGTGTATATATATATGTATATATATATATATATGCACACATACATAGCTCTTCTTGGACGCAAGTTCAGCCTCCTATCACACTCGTATCAGGTTGTTCGTGGCAAATATGAAGCACGTACAGCTTTCACAAAAGAATGTGTGACAACATCGGAAAACACTTCGAAACACAGAGGGCCAAATCAGAAAACTAAACCAATCAACCAAGACAACAACTTTTGAAGGCAAGCAAGACTATGCCAAAAACCTCTAGCAGAAATTCGGGTCAGCTCAAAGGACAGCCAAGGAAGCAACGACAAGCTACGAGGCCTCAATCCGACTCTGAATCCGTGAGGCCGGAGGGCTTTAGGGTTTAGGGTTTAAAGTCTAGGGATGGTTAAGGCTCAGGGTGTGTAGTCGTACGGACGTGGTGGTTGCACTTCTTTAGGAATGGTTTAGGGCTCACTCCCCAAACCCCCTCAAGGGGGGCTTTCATAAAATTGGTTTCGCACGACAAGAAGCAAGGCCTTCCAACGGACACCCGTCCCTCGCACCCTGTAATTGTCGCTCGAAGTGTAAATAGGGTTTAGGGTTCACGTTTTAGGGTTTAAGGTTTAGGGTTTAGGGTTGTCGCTCGAAGTGTAAA